GCGCAAACCTGTTTACCCGCCCCCTTTTCCTACTTCTTGTGCAGCAGGTAAACAGACAAAGTTATATAACTGTCATATCTTGAACCCTAGAAGATCTCCCACACTACGTTCAGAAAACAGAGATATGATCTGTCATGAACTGAAGCATGACAGGGGCATCGTGGTGAAATCAGCCGCTCGTTACAATAATGAATTCGAAGAAATCGGCATTTTCCAGTCGGGTTAGAAGGTTATATCTAATTTTTCGAGGTTTTATTTTGGCTCACCACTTTATATGTCCACTCAAAACCCATTTTGGACTGGATTTTACTGAAAGGCGTTAAGTAAAGGTATGCAAAATGTATATTTTCTGCTTCCAAGGACTCTCAAGCTATGGAAGTTATGGAGCGCTGGAGCCCGTTATGGAGCGCTGGAGCCCATGTTTTGGCTAATTTAACCTCTGACACCAGGCGACCCCTACATTTTTTCAATTAAAAATGTCTCGACTTTTATTCAAGATAAATAGGTATTTCTTTCATCAAAGGCGAGACAAGCGATCAAGATTTGATCATATTGACGTCAATAACTCCTATGCGTCTAAAACTTGACGAACGTCTGATTCCTCCCCGTCGTGACACATATAATCTGTAGGAACAGCACAGCGGTAGAATGTGTCTACACCAGCGTCTGTGGTGTAATAGGGGGTGCCCTTTAGCGCGATCGGGTAAGGTCGGTCGGGTCATCGGGTCGGGTCGTTTCTGGAGGTTTCAGTGCACACTACAACCCGCTGCGATTGTACCCGACGACCTGGAAGTTAAACTAGAGAAACCCTTAACTTCAATGGCTTCCAGGGCTCATCGAGTCATTTCCGTAGTTCCCTGCTGCAGTGCTGTGGTCAACCTGGAATTCCGTACACATGGGTCAGATCTACTTTTACATCGATAGCTTTCTGTTATCAAAGATCGTTCATTAGACGTCGCGAGGATTGGAGTAGAGTTTGGAATGGTGCATTAAATGAATGAGACCTAAAAGAGAGATGGAGACGCAGAGAGAGAGAGAGAGAGAGAGAGAGAGAGAGAGAGAGAGAGAGAGAGAGA